ACTGTCACATCAGTCGGAGGGAGCCAACGGCCACAGCGCTCAGCCCTCGCCGGGACACTTGCCCATGGGCAGGGGAGCGGGACGGGCAGGGGGCTGCCGGCCCCTCCACCGCCTCTGCCCGGCTACGGCTGAGCCTCCCGTGCCGAACCGTTGAGAGCGGCCGTCTCCTCCGAGCACACCGGCGGCTTCGATGGCTCCATTTTCTCCATCTGCAGCTGCTTCTGCCGCTCCTGCAGCCGGTATTCCCGGATTTTCTTCTTGCGGTAGTAAATACCATAGCCCACACCGCTGGCGAGCAGGACGGCCACCGCCACTGCCGGCACCACTGCCAGGAGCACCAAGTTGGGGTCGTGGTCTGCCGGAGAGCGGGGATGGGTGGTCAGTGGCACCAAGCCCTGGGACCCCTGGGACCCCCCAAGATCCCAGGAAACCCAAAACCCCCAGGACCCCCTGAGACCCCCAGGGCCCCCAAGACCCCCGAGACCCCCAAGACCCCCGTCCCCACTCACAGTGCACCCTCACGGTGACAATCCGGATGGCTGTACCCAGCCGGTTGGTGGCCTGGCAGTGGTAGGGGCCGGCGTGGGTCCCCGCGGGGAAGGGCTCGCCGTCCTTGGTGCACTCCAGGAGGGGTGGGGGGTTGCCCCGTGCCGAGCAGCGCAGGGTCTCATCCTGCCCCTCCGTCCAGTTCTGGCTGGGGGGGCAGCTCCCATCGTCCATCCAGGGTCCGGCTGTGGGAAGAGCCGGGATAGGGACAACAAATTAATTCCCATCCAGAAATTTCCCCTTCAGCATCCCGGGACGGAGCCCGGCCGCGGTGCTCTCACCCATGACGGTGAGCCGGATGGGCGCGCTCCTCTTTGGGGCTTTGCCGCCGACGAGTAGCTTGGCATCACAGCTCAGCTCCAGCCCATCGTCTTCCTCGCGCGTCGTCAGGTTGAAGCGCAGCGGGGACGGTCCCCACCCCGCCAGGACGCGGTGGCCGGCGCGGATCTGCAGCCGGAGCTCAGCGGCGTGGCCGTGCGGCAAAGAGCAGTGCCCTGCCACCGCCGTGCCGGCTGCTGGGCTGGTGGTGCTGATGTTCAGCTGCGGCAAGGGAAACCCTGCGAGCGATGGAGACGACACCGGGGTGATCTGGTGATGCCACGGCATGAAACCGCTCCCTCCTTCCCGGTGCAGCTCGCCAGGGCCGTGCCACCGGCGGGTCTTTGCCGGCCCCACCGCCGCGGTTACTCACTGTAGACGTGGACGGTCGCCTCCTTCCGCCGCTCCTTGGGTCCCACCCTCGCGGTGCAAACCAGCCCGAAGTCCCCCGGCTGGCTGGAGGACACCTCGGCGGTGGCCTGCTGCTTGTCCTTGCTAAGGAATTGCTGCAGGGTGCGGTTGGCAAACGCCAGCTCGAACCGCGCCACCGGGAAGACACGATCGACGGTGCAGCTGACGTTCACCATCTCACCGGTCTCCAGGTAGATCTGAGGCTCCAGCTTGGGATCCTCCGGGAATTCTGCCACCGGAGAGAAAGACCCCGGGATGAGCCGGTTGCTGCAACCGCAGCAGAGCAAATGCGGGTAAGATGCCGGTGCCGGCTTACCGTAGACGGTCAACATCTGCGGGTCGGAGGTGGTGTTCAGCTGTGGGCCGTAGGGCCCCAGGTCAAGCAGCCCCTGGCAGGTGACGTTCTGCCCGTTGTGCCAGTGCTGTGCCGTCAGCCAGTAGGTCACCCGCGCCACCGTCGGCTCGTCCTCGTCACGCTGCTCAAAGGTTTCGGTGCTCAGTATCTCATCGCCCTGCCACAGGATCAACGTCAGGTTCTGGATCGGCGCAACGTCGGCCACGCGGCACACCAGCTCGTAGCTCTTGCCTGCCTCCAGCTGCGGGACTGGATCCAGCACCGCCGGACCCCGCATACCTAGGGGAGAGACGCAGAGTGACGGGGACGATCCCAGTTTGCCGGGACGGGCAGGGCCCCCCTCTCCGCGCGGTGCCTTACGGTAGCTGATGAGTTGGGTGGTGACCACCTTCCTCTCCTGGTTGCAGGTGTAGTAGCAGAGGATGCTGGAGTGCCACGTGGTGACGTTGAGCAGGTCCACCACCGTCTCTCTCGGCTTTGCCGTCACCAACTGCTTCAGAATTGATGTCTCCACGTTACCGGATGCTTTGGGATCCTGGCACGTCGTCTTCAACGTCAACTGGATCGATCCGCCGTGTTCCACCACCAGCACCGCCGGCTCGACCGACAGCTCGAAGGAGGCTCCCGACCGCCCTGCCAGGAAAACCCAGGGCTTTGGTGGGGGGGTTCGGTGGTCGAGGGGACCCCTGGGCACATCCCCATCCCTGGCACGGCGGAGGAAGGTCGAGGGGACCCCCGAGCTTGTCCCCGTTCCCAGTATGGCAGGGGGAATGGTCAAGGGGACCCCTGGGCCGGTCCCCATCCCCGGCACGGTGGCGAGGATGCCAGCCAGCCGCTGTGGGCAGGGAGAAGCCGCAGAGCCGCCGAGCTTCTCCTTCGGCCACAGGAAGTGGCTGGCTCTGCCGGCGGGCAAGGATCCGTCCTCCCCATCCAGCTGGGAGCCTTCAGCCAAAAACCCGGTGACGGGGCCGGGGGAGGGACGCCGGGGCCCCACCTCCGGCCCTTGGGGACAACAGCAGCTGTCCCCAGCTGCTGCCCGGTGCAGCCTCGCAGTCTCCTCCGGCCCCACGTGCCGGTGTTTTCCTGAGCAAAGCATCTGTCGCCGAACCCCACCGGGCTGCGGAGGAAGCCCCCCGGGGTGAGTCAGCACCGGCGCCCTTCGGTGGGGGATTCCCTGGGAGAAGCTGTGAGGTCTCCCTGCCCCTGAGGAGGGGAAAAGTCCTGCCCTTTCCTGGAATAACCCTCGGCAGGAAGAAAACAACAAAGAAAAAAAAAATTCCCACTGTAATCCAGAGATTTCGCAAGAACGGGAGCCGGATGGCTGCGCCTTCCGCTGGCGAGGCGACGGCTGCGGGAAGCGGGGGCCGGGATGGGTCCGGGACCCCCATCCCGGCCGCCCCACCAAGCCCCCGGTGCCGGGTGCGGCCCGACGCCGACACCGCGGCGGCACGCTTGCGCTCCCCCGGTGCGATGGGGACCCCAGGATCCGCTGTGACACGCTCACGGTGACAAGGTCACGTTGACACAAGCGTTCACGCCAGCCGCGACGCCACCAACACGCTTGCGATGAGAGGCTCGCACCCGCGCGCTTGTGCCAACACGCTCGCGCCGGCCTCGCCCCACTGTGCCGGGAACACCCGCGGGGGGGGTCCCTGGGTTCCCGCCACCCTCGCTCGATGCCACCCCCAGCCCGGTGTCCCCCGGTGTCCCCTCACCTGCGATGACAGCCAGCGCGCACAGGGCCAGCGGCAGCACTGCGGGGTGCATGGTGCTGTGGGGTGTCAGGGTGGGCACCGGCACCGGGTGGGCTCAGTCCTCTGGGAGCACCGGGATGGATCGGGCTCTTCGGGAACACCGAGGCGGATCCGGTCGGGCTCTCCAGGAACGCTGCGAGGGGTCGGGAACACCGGGATGGGTCCGGTCAGGCTCTCTGGGACCAGTCGGTTTGGGGTCCCTGGGATGGATCCGGTCGGGCTCTCGGTGTGCACTGGGATCGGTCGCTTCAGGGTCTCTGGGAGCACTGGGAAGTGTTCGGTTGGGCTCTCCAGGCAGATCCGGTCGGGCTCTCCGGGATCGGTCAGTTCGGGCTCTCCGGGAGCACTGGGAAGGGTCCAGTTGGGCTCTCTGGGATCAGTTGCGTCGGACTCTCCGGGATCGGTCGGTTCAGGCTCTCTGGGAGCACCGGGAAGGCTCCGGTCGGACTCTCCGGGATCGGTCGGTTCAGGCTCTCTGGGAGCACCGGGAAGGCTCCGGTCGGACTCTCCGGGATCGGTCGGTTCAGGCTCTCTGGGAGCACCGGGAAGGCTCCGGTCGGACTCTCCGGGATCGGTCGGTTCAGGCTCTCTGGGAGCACCGGGAAGGCTCCGGTCGGACTCTCCGGGATCGGTCGGTTCAGGCTCTCTGGGAGCACCGGGAAGGCTCCGGTCGGACTCTCCGGGATCGGTCGGTTCAGGCTCTCTGGGAGCACCGGGAAGGCTCCGGTCGGGCTCTCCGGGATGGATCAGTTCAGGCTCTCCGGGAGCACCACGCCGGCTCGGGATCTCGGTCGGTCTGTCTGTCTGTCGGTCGTCCCGCCCGGGGCGGTGCTTTATGAGCTCGGCGCCAGCCCGGCCCCTCTGGCCCCCGGGGAATTCCGGTGCAACGGGGACTTCGGCTGCGGGTTTTCCCCGGAGCAGCGGCGATCCCGGGGGCTGGAGGGGCTGGAGGGGGGGTCCTGCCCCCCTGCCCCGGGATGGGGCAGTTCTCCTGCCCCCCTGCCCCGGGATGGGGCACTTCTTCCGCCCCATTGCCCTCCTGCCCCCGATACCGCAGCCGCTTGGCCCCACGGGGCTCGCTCCAGCCCACGGTGCCACAAGGGTGCCCACGGCCGAGCCCCGGTCCCACGCCGGCTGCCGCAGGAACGGGGGCCGGGGCCACCGAATGAGAGAGGCGGGGCAGA